GTGTCTGTGTGTGTGTGTGTTTGTGTGTGTATTTATATATATATATATATATATATATATATATAGATATATATATATACACACACATACATACACATATATACACACACACATGCATGTATATATTTAATAAAAATATTTGCATATTAAATATATTTCTATATAATATATACATTTAAATACATGTAAATATTTTCAAAATATATAATGTATGAGTGTGTATTTATATATACTAGAGCTGCCCCCTAATAGTCGACGAGAAGAGGCTTGGTCGACCAAAATTTTATTAGTCGCAGAAAAAAGAATTCCACACAAAGTGGCGAAATCATGCAGTCCGTGACGGCCAAATCGTTAACGGCTGGTCTGTGGTAATATAGTAAATCGTGCAGGACATCCATATGCTCACCTAACATTCATCGACCTCAAATATAGCTTATCATCTGAAATATGTATGTAGTAGCAACTTTACATGGCAGCTCAATCTAATGTTAGCCTAGAAAAAAAGTGCGCTGTTCATGTGTTTTAAACACGGAGTGTGGAAGCTGAACAGTAGCGCGCTTAGGCTACTGCATGGCAGATGGAGGCGCCGGTGAGATCATTTGCTCTTAAAATACTTTGTCATTTTTGGTCATACAGATAAGAGTAATGCATCTTTTGTATCTGTAAAGACTCTACGTTTATTCGTGTGCACAACGAAACATTGAGCTTTTATAAATTAATTAAAGCAAACAGGATGCGCTTTCTGCCGTCTCGGACTCTGTGAACTTGAGCACGTCACTTCGAAACTCCGTGTATGCTTGCCTTATTACAGACATGGAAAATATATCTATAGAGAGTGAAACTTTGAAATGAACCAATTCAAATATAAAACAAATATTCTCAGATTATGTAATCCGTATGAAACATGCATACATACTGCGGAGATGACGAGTCAGTGTCGCCGACTTCATCTATTAAACCGAAAACAGAAAGCACTAGTGTAACAATAAATTAATAAAACGTTAATGCAGTGTACTTGCTGTTTTTCCCTAACACATTCATAATTATTATATTTGCCGGTGCGCTGTGGCAAGCCTTTTTTTTTGGTGCGCTTATTAGGCTATGTAGGCAATTAAAGGCTCATTATTATGATTTCTATGGTTTATTATTAAAAGTGTGACTAATAGTCGACTAATGCTTAAAGTGAACGACTACTAGTCGAGGGCAGCCCTAATATATACATAATAAATATACACAGTACACACACACATATATTATGTAAACAAAACTTATTTTGGATGCGATTAATCGTTTGACAGCCCTAATACATACATACATACATACATACAGGTCCATCTCAAATTAGAACTGCTGGTGTTGGTCCATTTTGTTTTTTGAAAACCAACGTCACTGCACCCATTTACCAATACATTTTGGAGCACTTCATGCTTCCTTCTGCTGGCCAGCTTTTTGAAGATGCTGGGTTAGGGCTATTTCATTTTCCAGCAGGATTTGGCACCTGCCCACACTGCCAAAAGCACCAAAAGTTGGTTAAATGACCATGGTGTTGGTGTGCTTGACTGGCCAGCAAACTCACCAGGCCTGAACTTTTGTCAAGTTGGTCAAGTATTGTCAAGAGGAAAATGAGAAACAAGTGACCAAAAAAATGCAGATGAGCTGAAGGCCACTGTCAAAGAAACCTGGGCTTCCATACCACCCCAGCAGTGCCACAAACTGATCACCTCCATGCCACGCCGAATTGAGGCAGTAATTAAAGCAAAAGGAGCCCCTACCAAGTATTGAGTACATGTACAGTAAATGAACATACTTTCCAGAAGGCCAACAATTCACAAAAAAAATTTTTTTTTTATTGGTCTAATGAAGTATTCTAATTTGTTGAGAGAGTGAATTGGTGGGTTTTTGTTAAATGTGAGCCAAAATCATCACAATTAAAAGAACCAAAGACTTCAACTACTTCAGTCTGTGTGCATTGAATTTATTTAATACACGAGTTTCACAATTTGAGTTGAATTACTGAAATAAATGAACTTTTCCATGACATTCTAATTTATTGAGATGCACCTGTACATACACACTGAGGAAAATATTTATTTGATACCCTGCTGATTTTTGTAAGTTTGCCCACTTACAAAGAAATGAAGGGTCTGTAATTTTTATGGTAGGTTTATTTTAACAGAGAGACAGAATATCAACCAAAAAAATCCAGAAAAAAAAACACATTATATAAAAGGCTAGAAATTGATTTGTATTTCAGTGAGTGAAATAAGTATTTGATCCCCTACCAACCAGCAAGAATTCTGGCTCCCACAGATTGGTTATGTGCCCATGTGAAACACAGATCAGTCCTGTCACTTTAAGAAGTTACTCCTAATGTTAGCTCTTTAGGTATAAGACACCTGTCCACACAAACTGTATGTTCCATTGCAACCTCTCCCACCACCATGGGCAAGACCAAAGAGCTGTCAAAGGATGTCAGACACAAGATTGTAGATCTGCACAAGGCTGGAATGGGCTACAAGACCATCAGCAAGAAACTTGGTGAGGAGGAGACAACTGTTGGTGCGATTATTCGTAAATGGAAGAAATACAAAATAACTATCAATCGGCCTCTGTCTGGAGCTCTGTGCAAGATCTCTCCTCATGGGGTAAGGATGATCATGAGAAAGGTGAGGGATCAGCCCCGAACTACACGGGAGGAGCTTGTTAAAGATCTTAAGGCAGCTGGGACCACAGTCACCAAGCAAACCACTGGTAACACACTATGCCGCAATGGACTGAAATCCTGCAGCGCCCTCAAGGTCCCACTGCTCAAGAAGGCACATGTACAGGCCCGTTTAAAGTTCGCCAAAGAACATCTCAAATGATTCAGAGAAGGCTTGGGAGAGAGTGCTGTGGTCAGAAGAGACCAAACTTGAGCTCTTTGGCATTAACTCGACTCGCCTGACTATGACCCCAAGAACACCATCCCTACAGTCAAACACGGAGGTGGAAACATTATGCTTTGGGGCTGTTTTTCTGCTAAGGATACAGGACGACTTCACCGCATTGAGGGGCAAATGGATGGGGCCATGTACTGTAAAATCTTGGATGAAAACCTCCTTCCCTAAGCCAGAACACTGAAGATGGGTCTTCCAGCATGACAATGACCCGAAACATACCGCCAAGGTAGCAAAGGAGTGGCTCAAGAAGAAGCACATTAAGGTCATGGAGGGGCCTAGCCAGTCTCCAGACCTCAATCCTATAGAAAATCTGTGGAGGGAGCTGAAACTTCGAGTTGCCAAATGACAGTCAAGAAACCTTAAGGATTTAGAGAGGATCTGTAAAGAGAAGTGGACCAAAATCCCTCCTGAGATGTGTGCAAACCTGGTGACCAACAACAAAAAACCTCTGTGCTTGCCAACAAGAGTTTCTGCACCAAGTACTAAGTCATGTTTTGCTTGGGGATCAAATACTTATTTCACTCATTGAAATACAAATCAATTTCTAACTTTTATATAATGTGTTTTTTCTGGATTTTTTAGTTGGTATTCTGTCTCTATATGTTAAAATAAACCTACCATAAAAATTACAGACCCTTCATTTCTTTGTAAATGGGCAAACTTACAAAATCAGCAGGGGATCAAATAAATATTTTCCCCACTGTATATATAAAATTGTATTATAAAAACAATACTTACAGCAGCAACAGTCAGCATGTCAAATACTTTAGTGCAGTATCGCCAGGCATTAGCATTTCCATATTTCGTTTGGCACTCATCTATAAATAGAAGGAAAGAATGCAAATGAAAATCAAAAAACACTGCACAACAAAATATCAATACAATACGTATATTACGATAGGTGTGCATTAGATTTTTGCTATCTCACCATAAAAGCCATAGACTTGTGTTATCTGCCTGCTCTCGTGATTGCCACGCAACAGTGTGATGCGGTCAGGCCACTTTGCTTTAAGTGCTAGCAAATATGTGAACGTTTCTAAGCTGTAGTATCCTCGGTCAACAAAGTCACCCTAGAGGAAAGAAAACATACCAATGTCTATTCAGTATACGCTTGGGAGGGAGGGGGGCATTGTTTCCAATGAGTCACCAAATATGAACTTAAAACAGTGTTTATTACGTATAATTATCTTTATGGATACAATACCATGAAAATGTAATTTGTGTCTGGTACTTGGCCCCCAGTTCTGAAGAGTTCACATAAGTCATAAAACTAGAGATAAAGAAAAGGTTTAGATCAATATACATGTTGTTATATCAAAAAAGGCCATTGTCACAGCATCTGTACGCAACAGAGATGCTTCCATAGGGCCTGCACCCACCTGTCCGTGAATATCCCCACATACAGTGACTGGAGTGGATACTGGCTGTACATTTGATTCTTCAAGTAGCAGGTCACATACATAGTCACACAATCTCTGTCAAAGCAATAGAAGAGAACACAGCAGGTTGATCAAGTTTGTAATGGAAATAACATCACTGAATAGATCAGATCACTGCATCTAAAATCATTAATACATAAAGAATTCATTTAATTCACATTTTTCAATATCACAAATTAGTGGCTTGGATGATACTGTTATGAACTGTATTGCTGCATTATGGACTAATTCGAAAGCCTAGTTGTTAACGTATAGGAGCTCTATTTTCAGACAAGAGAACGGAGGATGATTCAGTCAAGACTGAAAACTGCTAATAAGCAAATATCATAAAATGAGATTAACTAAAAGGCTGACGCTGAAAAGTAACGTAGATGGGCGTTTCAAATTAGTGCGCTTGATAGCAACAACATAAGTTAGCCACCCCAGGTATTTACAAGAAATAATGAGTTACACACCTTTATTACGACTAACGTAACTGCTTTTTTTGGCCGTATATCCGGTTATTTCTGATACCATGTATTAAAATAAATCCCGGAACACACTGATTGGGTTCATACCTGTTTTAATACAGTCTATGGTTCATACGCAGCGCTAACGACTGCACTGCACTGACACACTGCTATTTTACCAGCCTTCACCGCGACACACATGGCTTCAGAATTATATCAAGCGCTATCATGTTTAATATTTTGAGAGAAAAATAGAATTGCTGACAATAGTCACCTTTAAGTCGTTCTCTGGAAGGTATTTGCACTGTCTCGCAATTTCAACATACTTATCTAGGTCCAACGGCGCCATTTTAGGAACAACAGTCGATAGAAGAAGCAAAGAGGAAGTCTTTCTACGTCATGCTGGGCGGTAATGATTGACACAGGGATCGGCCAATCAGATTCAGTACTTTGATAAGATCCCGAGCGCCGCTTGCAGGGTCAGTGGTTTCGGTGGGTCATCATCTCACGCTCTCGAAATAAGCTTATATAAATAGGACAAATAAATAAATAAAATAAAACGAGTGAATAATTAGTGCATCAAAATCCAAGTCCTTTATTAAAAGCATTCTCCATTCATTTACCACGAGGTGGGAACATAAAGTTGCCGTTTCAAACTAATTCAAACTAAGTTCATGACACACACTCAGAAAAAAATTGTAAATATGTATTAATCATCACATATTCGTTTATTTTATTTTTAAGCTTTTATAAGAAACACCAGGAAATCATATTACAGTAAATGTCCACAAAATACTACTCAATAATGAATCATTTTATTTCCTTCCGATTACCACTGCAGTCATGATTCATATATAGTTTATACAATAGCTGAACTGAATTTGCAGGAGATTTTTTTTTTAATTTAAGCTACGTAATTATTATCTTGATTACATTAAGTTAAACATTACACAGATGCGAATGTTTGCTGTAACACCACAGCAGCTACACACATTTTATATAGGGCTACAATTGAATGTGGAGAAATGATGATGATTATTATTACAGCCATATACAGATTTGACATGTATGACCATTTCCTGTCTTTTATCAAATGGCATTTTATGTTTAAATGTACACACAAATGTTGTGTCTGTCTTCATGCATACACTGTTTTGCTCATGTGTTCTGGGCATATCACCATCTTTAGTTATGTTTGTCGTGCAAAGCAAAAGATGGCATGCAGTATGTTGTAAGGCTTTGGCAGTATTGGAGACATAACAAAATGCACCAACAACATTTACATTTGTTTGACTGAGTAACTGGTGCAAATGCCAATTTTTGCTAAACAGTTACCGCTTAAGATTTTCACTGATTAACAAGTACTTATTTTGTAAAAAAAAAAAACACAATTAGCGCACAATTCAACACACTCATTTTCATGACACATTGGATATTTATAATAAAACATGGGCTTATAAAACACACATCAAAGAAAATGTACAGTAAATGACTAATATACAGAATTTAAATGTAATATTATACAAACAAAACAAATCTAATTCAAACTACTTTAATAGACCAGTTTTGTTTGTTTTCCTTTCCTCTTTCTAAATAAATTACAGTTATATTTCATGATTTGTCCTTTGAATTCACACATTAATATCATAGAGCAATATTTCCCAACCCTGGTTCTGGAGTTCCCCAAAAGTACACATTTTGTCTCCGTAACCTTAAACACTCATTTCATGTCTTGGGGCCATTGGAAAACACCGTTCTATAGGTTCTTTTAGGGCAAGTTAAAGTGTTTAATAAACTCAACTGAAATGCATTAATCGGGCCATTGTGGAGAAGGTTTGTGAGGTAAAACTTCATCATCGAGATTTTGTCCGTGCAGACTCCTGCAAAATAAAAATGTAAATGGCTTCAAAATAATAAATGCAAGTTATATCAATATAATTTTAATAGTAATAGATATAACAGCGGTATACAATTATATGCATATTACTAATGGTCACATATAAAGGTTACACTTTAAATATATGTTATGCTTCCAGTGTATTCATAATGTTGTGTGCATTGCATTATGTGGACTCACCACCATCAAGTGTCCATTTTTGGCTCTGTAGACCATTGATTCACTGCTGCTCTTAAAATCAACAAAGCCCTCTTTGCCAGGCTGGATGTCAAACCTCACACTACAAAATGACAACAATTCGGTGTATGTATAATGCATTCTTGTTAAATACAATAATCAGTCTATCTCTGTGAGCAGGACTGAGTATCCAAGGCAATTCAGATAGAAATACAGTGCATGTCTCACCTCCCTTGAACAATTTTGATGAGGTTGTGGTTTTTTGTCACTACACAGATTTTTGTCAATGCCTCAAATAGATAGCTGCACTGCAAGACCAGGTCCCCCTAAAACAGAATATTTAACAATCATATATGTATATATTTCAGTGACAGGTTACAGTTCAAATACAGTTCAACAGAAACGTAATACATGTTGAACACGTTTTTTTTCTTCTTTGTTCTGAGGCATGTAAACAAACGTTTTTCCAATTTACCATGTGACAGTAATTTCATACAGATAGGCTACTCCCTGACAAAGATATTTGTTCACCACCTACTTTTTGCTTTGTGTCTTCACAAGTGACATGGAGAATCAGGAAGTTGTCACTTAAATCGCTGACAGACACCCCTGTACAAAAGCAAATATTGCTCATGTAAACAATGTATAGTATTATATGGAACTGGATTCAACTTGACTAATTTAGTAAAGGTATGTTACAAGATATTTAAAAAAAGGTAAAACATAAATATAAAGACTACGAAAGAAATACCTAGTCCAAACCAAACAGACTACTATATGAAGAGTCATGTTTACACCTTTGCCAACTGTTTTTAATGAAATAGGATAAGTTCTAGTATATTAAAGTTAAAATTCACATACTATAAAAATATAAATTATTTAAATAAAATGCCTGTGGAAATCTAAACTGATGGCAAATTTCACACAATCATAGACGTTTAATTATTGGGCATTGAGATTTCACCTTTTAGTGAACTGTAATTCACCCTCTGTTTGATTTTGGCCTCTTCCACCAGATACGCAGCGGCCTGAGTGAAGATCAGTTGTCTGAAACGTGGCCGAAAGCCATTCCTGTCATACTTAATCACTGGAACACTGTACTGTGTAGAGTGAGATATCACATCAGTTTCCCATGCCAATGATATAAACATCTGACTGAAAAATAAAGCTCAGACAGATCTACTGTACTCTTAGTTAAACAAGCCCCGAAATTCCCCTAAGCATTCTTGCAACAAAAATAAAAATAAGATACTTCTTTACATCCAATAAATGGATTCAAGATGCAAATATGTATACAGTGCCTTGTGAAAGAATTCAAACCCTTTCATTTTTTTCACATTTTGGTGTTTCAGCCTTATGTTAAACTGCTTTAAATTACTTTTATTTTATTTTTTTCCCCACATCAGTCTACACACCATACACCATAATGGCAAAGCAAAAACAGAACTGTCACAATTTTGTACATTTATAAAAAATAAACAAAGAACTATTTAAATAAGTACATTGCATAAGTACTCAAACCCTTAACTCAGAACTTAGCTGAAGCACCTTTACAGCCTCAAGTATTTTTGGGTATGATGCGACAAGCTTTGCACATCAGGCAATTATCTGCCATTCTTCCCCTCACCGGTTCACTTCTCAAGCTCTGTCAGGTTGGATGAGGGCAAATGCACATTTTCAGGTTTCTCCAGAAATATTTGATTGGGTTCAAGCCCAGGCTCTTGCTGGGCCACTCAAGGACATTCAAAGAGTTGTCTATAAGCCACTCTTGCTGTGTGCTTAGAGTCATTGTCCTGTTGGAAGGTGAACTTTCTGCCCAGTCTGAGGTTCTGAATGCTCTGGACTGGGTTTTCATTAAGGCTATGTTGGTTACTTGCGCTTTTCTTCTACTCTGATGTGTCCCTCAATTCCTGCCACTGAAGGTCACTCTGAAGGTGATGAACAGTGCCTGGTTTCCTTCAAACATGATGTTTGGAATTGAGGTTCATCAGACCTGAGAATCTCGTTTCTCAGAGTCTGAGGGTCCTTTAGGTGCTTTTTGATTGAGTCTGGCCACAGCAGCATAAAGACTGGTGGAGTGTTGCAGTGATGTTTGTCCTTCTGTAGGTTTCTCCTATCTCCACATATAATCATGGAGCTCAACTAGAGTGACCATCAGCTTCTTGGTCACCACTCTAACCAAAGCCATTCTCCATCATTTGCTCAGTTTGGCCAGGAGGCCAGCTCTAGGAAGAGTCCTGGTTGTTCCAAACGTCTTCCATTATGAATAATGGAGGCTACATGCTTCTGTGAACCTTCAATGCAGCAGAATGTTTCTGAACTCTTCCCCAGATGTGTGGTTTGATGCAATCCTGTCTCTGAGCTCTACAGGCATTTATTTTGACCTCAGGGCTTGGTATTTGCTCTAATATGCATTTTCAGCTGTTAGACCTTTTATTAAGACATGTGTGCCTTTCCAAATCATACCCATTCAATTGAATTTACCACAAGTTAACTTCACTCAAAGTGTGATAACATTTACAAGCAAAATGAATGCTCCTGAGCTGAATTTCAGCTGTCCCAGATATGACGAAATGGAATCATTTAAGTTTTTTTATCTTTAATAAATTTGCAGAGATGTTAAAAACCTGTTATTTGCTTTGGCATTATGGTGTATGGAGTGTAGATTAATGTGGGAAAAAAGTAATTTAAAGCAGTTTAACATAAGGCTGCAATAACAAAATGTGAAAAAAGAAGGGGTTTGAAAATTGTCGCAAGGCAATGTATGCATATGTATGTGTATATACCTATGTAAATTGTTTTTAGTTTCATGTACCTTATTGCCCTCAGGACAAATCAGCTGCAAGACTCTGATGTTTATATCTTGTTCACCTGAATAGACAAAGAATGAACAAAGTGCTATCATGTTTATTCATAAGGTATAACCTGGTCTTTGCATTTACACATTGAAAGGTTTACAGCAACAGCAGCGTTTAAAAAAAACATAAACTCTTACTTATCCTAGTGTCAGCGAAGGGTCGGCATACGCTCTGAGGGTAGTTCTCTTTTCTGCCTTTGAATATGTCACTGGTCAGTGCTTTAATTTGCAGCTGAAAATAAATTTGAACAATAAATGAATTCCAGCCAGTGAATAAAGTGTGAAAATAAACATTCAGACAAATGAGAGGTAAATTTTGTTCTACCTGCACCTTCTGCTGTGCACTGATCCCTCGAACATACTTCCGCACGAGGAGACGTGTGTGCAACTTACGCAAGAGCACTGAGGCCTATAAATGCATTTATAACAAAATATATTTTCATCACTTTCAGCTATAAAACAAAACTTTGCATGGTTTCAATAATAAAGGATTAAATAATATATGGAATACCTCTTGCATTATGGGTGGAGGAGTTAGCCAGCTGGTTTTGTCCAATACTGATTTTGGCAGATTCTCTTTGAGTCGAGTGAGGTAGCTCTGTCTGACAAAGGCCAGATACTCAGAGTTGTCCATGCTGACAGGCTGATTCCTGTTTATGAAGCCCTTAATAAACCTGCAGGATGGGGGAAAACAATCTTTTACAACTCAAATATCATAAAATATGTTGCATTTATCTGCTCTAAAAAATACAGTAAAATCAGTAAAATTGTGAAAAAAATAATACAATTGAAAATAACTTTTCTATTTTACAGTCTTTCTCAGTCGCATTTTCTCAGGTGCATTTCTCGAATCAAGGAATAGAATTCTCAAAACCACTTGTTCAACCTCCACATCATCTAGTCACTTGTGCACATCATAAAAGCAGTTTCTCATTCTTTTGAACAAGTTTCGATTGCTTTGGTACATTCAAGCAATTGATTATGTACATTTGACAGCGGTTTCCTACATTATCAGTTGCTATTGTCATGTTGCTCAAAATGTATTATATAGTTTTCTGTGCAATAGTCTTACTAATAGTCCTCAAAACATTGAGTCATTTGTTCATCGTATAAGTCATTAAATGCAAAATGGTTGATCTAGTCGTCATAAACTGTCAAGCATATGTTCTACACATTTCTATTAGACTTTTTGTAAATTTGCCATGAATTGTGCAAGTGAATCTTGACTTAATTAAGAGAATATAGATCAACCAATGATAAACCAGTTCTCTGAAATAGCTCAAAGGTGCATCTCATGAACCTTCAATTGGAAAGCATATAGACAGAGGACAACACAAGAGTTACAAATTCTGACAATGGAGTTTCTAATTGTTTATTTTCACCTTTGTGCCCACATTTCTTTTACTTTTCTATATCACAATGATGTTGTAAAGGTTTTTTGGGTTTTTTTGTCAGACCACTAGTAAAAGTGTAACTGTATCCTATCCAGTCTTTCAATCAATATCCCACATAGAGTAATGTGTACATTTCTACATTTGAAATGGATATGTAAGTGCAGCCTTCTGCATTTCAATAAAGTAACTGTCATCCAAACTGTTGCCATAGTTTACAGCAGGTAATACTAACAGAGTGCACTGTTATATTGACAATATGACTAAGCATTTTGACTTGTTTGTGAACAATGACACGAGGACTTTTCATTCTGATGGCACTGATATGCTCATTGACATAAATACTTGAGAGATGAACTAAAGATTTTGAGTAAGTAACAGGCTTTTGCAGGTAATCCATTGTGTGGTGCTGTTTGTAAGAATTGTTTTGAGAAATGCACATACTTTGCAAATATTACGGATGATTCAAGAAATGCGAAAAACTGTAATATTTTTTTAAATGTAAATTATTAATGTGATGTCAGCTGAATTTTGAACCTGCTCAAAAAACATGCCTTATTATCAATGTTAAAAACCGCTTAAAGGAATAGTTCACCCAAAAACAAAAATTCTATTGTCATTTACTCACCCTGAAGTTTTTCCAAACCTGTTTGAATTTCTTTCTTCTGCTGAACACAAAAGAAGATATTTTGAAGAATGTGGGCAAGTAAATAATGACAAAATGTTCATTTTTGGGTGAACTATTCCTTATTTTTTATGGAAACTGTAATACATTTTTTTTCAGGATTCTTTTATGAAGAGAAAAAAAAGCATTTATTTGATTCTATTAGACTTTTTGTAAATTTGCCATGAATTGTGCAAGTGAATCTTGACTTAATTAAGAGAATATAGATCAACCAATGATAAACCAGTTCTCTGAAATAGCTCAAAGGTGCATCTCATGAACCTTCAATTGGAAAGCATATAGACAGAGGACAACACAAGAGTTACAAATTCTGACAATGGAGTTTCTAATTGTTTATTTTCACCTTTGTGCCCACATTTCTTTTACTTTTCTATATCACAATGATGTTGTAAAGGTTTTTTGGGTTTTTTTGTCAGACCACTAGTAAAAGTGTAACTGTATCCTATCCAGTCTTTCAATCAATATCCCACATAGAGTAATGTGTACATTTCTACATTTGAAATGGATATGTAAGTGCAGCCTTCTGCATTTCAATAAAGTAACTGTCATCCAAACTGTTGCCATAGTTTACAGCAGGTAATACTAACAGAGTGCACTGTTATATTGACAATATGACTAAGCATTTTGACTTGTTTGTGAACAATGACACGAGGACTTTTCATTCTGATGGCACTGATATGCTCATTGACATAAATACTTGAGAGATGAACTAAAGATTTTGAGTAAGTAACAGGCTTTTGCAGGTAATCCATTGTGTGGTGCTGTTTGTAAGAATTGTTTTGAGAAATGCACATACTTTGCAAATATTACGGATGATTCAAGAAATGCGAAAAACTGTAATATTTTTTTAAATGTAAATTATTAATGTGATGTCAGCTGAATTTTGAACCTGCTCAAAAAACATGCCTTATTATCAATGTTAAAAACCGCTTAAAGGAATAGTTCACCCAAAAACAAAAATTCTATTGTCATTTACTCACCCTGAAGTTTTTCCAAACCTGTTTGAATTTCTTTCTTCTGCTGAACACAAAAGAAGATATTTTGAAGAATGTGGGCAAGTAAATAATGACAAAATGTTCATTTTTGGGTGAACTATTCCTTATTTTTTATGGAAACTGTAATACATTTTTTTTCAGGATTCTTTTATGAAGAGAAAAAAAAGCATTTATTTGAAATGGAAACCTTTTGTAACATTATAAATGTCTGTACTGTCACTCAATCAAATTAATGCATCCTTGCTGAATAAAAGTACTTACTGATCCCAAACATTTGAATGATAGTGTACATTTACATTAAAAAATAGACAGACAGACAGACAGACATAGGATAGATAGATAGATAGATAGATAAAACTTTAATTAAATTTCCATTCATTGACTAACTGACTGTGAAGTATCTGACATGATCTCACTTCTTGATGACTTTGACAGCCCAGGCTCTCCTTTCCCTTTCTTTTCTGGCCTGAAGGCCCCGCCAACATGTCTCAATCTTGGTAGCTGTTAAAAATGAATTAAGAGTAATGTTATATATATATGGTTTTCATAAGTATCTGAAGTATTTTAAACCAAAAAAGATCAATACCTGCTTCCCTCTTCCTCTGGTATTCTCCTTTCACCCTATAGCCTTTGTATTTGGCCTGGATTCTTGTGGCTGTAACAAAAGAGATTGGAGACACCAACCAATCAGGTCAAAGCTGACATTGCAAGGATCATCACGACGCCTTCAGGGAATGCCAGTCTTCTTTTGTCAGATGTTACTGGGGCCTTACCTAATTCATGCTTGCAGATCTCAAACGCATCTTCAGTGGCAAAAAGAGTCCTGGGATGGCGAATGAAGATTTTTGTCCTTAAGAAATAAGAGGAAATAGAAAAATATATATATTTCAGAAAACACTAGGAGAAAACAGATATTCTCTGGTCCTAGAAGAACAACACAGTATCATACAGTAGCAGTAGCTTGTACAGTTTGTACCTTCCCATCTTGTACTCGTCTGGTTTATAGCCAAGGTGTTTGATGAGTCGCTGCACTCCCTCTGCTGGTGTCCCCTTCCAGTGTGGCCATGTGTCAGGACATAGAGCCTTATATCTGCAAAGATAAGCATCGAGGTTTGTCACATGTTTGCAGGTGAAAAGTAGTGAGAAGAAGTGCCTGATAGAGAAGATCATTTCAAAGCAACACTAACTGAATACACTGTAACTTTAGATAGAAATGTCTGGCAAAGGCATGAAAGACAACTGAAGTCATAATGAAAACACACAATGCAAATGCACCTTTTCAGGAAGACCTCGTATCTTCTCCTATAAGCAAACCCAGCACGCCTGACTCTCAGGTGCTCCATTAACCCCAGGTACTTGACTTGATGTCTCACCATGACATCATCAAAGTGGTCTGAGGTTAGGCAAGTGAGAGAGAGGTCACAGGCACAGCCTTGTAAAACATTCAGCAGACAAAACCACTTACCAGAGGTGTGAAGTGAAAGGCTCACCTGGCTGCTTACAGTGGTTGGGTTTCAGACACCGCACATACCATGGCTCCTTGGTCATGAGGATTTCAGTGAGGCCTGCAAGGCTGCTCTTAAACTGGGTGGCTACCTGTTAAAAAAAAACACTGGTCAAAAATGTCTTTTTGATTCCTGTACATGAATAAAGTGCTGCAATAGCTTAAAAACAGGTGTTGCTCATAGGTTATCATCTATAATGGTACTATACTAAAACAATAATCAGACAATCTGCAAATTTGTTTTCTCGTAGCCTGAAAATGAACATTACAAATATATTATAGAGAGAAAGAGAGCGAGAGAACAGATTGGTACAATTATTTGTTTTAAGTGTCTATTTAAACATCTTTCACTGTACCGTCTCGGGTCTTTTCTTGCCGTCAGGTTCAATAGTATGGAAGCAATGCTGTATAATACTGTTCTTAGACTGTCGCATGACCTTAAACAATAACAAAAAAAATTTCCATTTATGTCTATTTCATAGTCATTATTTTTTCAGTTATGTCAGGCCAAGAGAGAATGCATGCTGTGGTGAAACCTCTTACCTCCTTAATGTTTCTGTACAGAAGATCATTATTTTTGTCAAGAAATCCTGACATGAGGAAACCATAGATGTCAAGATAAGGAAATGTTTTAAAAACCTTGTTTGTCTTTAAACTGTTTGCATTAAATGAAACTTACCAACAACTGAGTAAGTAACCTCTCCGGCATAGTGTAGAAGTCGAAAATCCCCTCGTTCAAGGGTCTTGCGTGTTTTCGGGTCAGCCAATTTGTGTCTGAAATTTAGAAAAAGTAAACTTGATTAATAAGTGAATACAATGCTTCGCAGCAGTACAAATTCTTGTTTACCACAGCACTTCAAGTCTAGTTTGCATTTGAAGGTTTTATCTATTGTTGTGTAATTAAATGTATTGCCATAACATATTTACAGGCTATTACATGGCAGATGCAGATTAACAAACAATATAAGAAATATAAACATTGGATAAAATTAAACATAGAAAAATAACTAAACTATTGTATATATACAAAGTCCATTGTATATATATATAATTTAATAATAATAATAATTTATGCATTTAGCAGACACAGCGACTTACAGTGCATTCAGGCTATACATTATTTACCAGTATGTGTGTTCCCTGGGAATTGAACCCACGACCTTTTGCGCTGCTAATGCAATGCTCTACCACTGAGCCCCAGGAAAATTATAAGTAAGTAAGTCCATAAAAGATTCTTTAAATGTACCATCTTACAGTCCAGCTTACAAAATAAGTCATTCAGAGTTTGGCCTGATAAAAATCATTGTCTCATGACATTATAAATTGAGCAGACTAAAAACTTGTTTTACAGACACATTAGTGCCACAATACTGACATTTTGGTGGTTCCTCTCATTTCAATAAATGCCCATGAGTCTATCTAGTATATACGACAGCTTGTATATTCACAACTTAGTCATGTCTGGATTTAAAAACTTGCAGGTTTTAGCTGAGGACTAGGATTGTAATATCAGTATAAACAGAAGCGATCTGCATTCAGTATCTACAAAATTAGCTATTATTATTTTTAGGCATTTATTTCAAAGCGTGTCCATTCCTGTTCCTGGAGGGCCGCCTTCCTGCAGAGTTTGGCTCCAACACACCAGCTTGGAAGTTTTTAGTGATTCTGGAGACCTGGATTAGCCGGTCAATTAGTACATTAGTTAAACTCTGCTGGAAGGTGGTCTACCAGGAACAGGATTGGACAGCCCACAAAAGCCTACAATGCCTACAAAAGAGTCATAAAATGAATAAAATCATCTAGTGATATGATAGCATTGAAATACCAGAATTAAGTCAGTTTGAAGTGAAAAGCTACCCACGTGACAAAATGAGGGTGACCGCACATCTTCTCCTCTAGCTTCTCCAGGAATGTATAATCTGTGGCTTCTCCAGGACGCAAACATTCTTCATCCTTTAATTGGGTGCATGACATAAAGACTGTGACTTAATCACATCTTGATGTGTATGTCAGCTTGAATCAGTTCCACGTACCAGTATTGATATGATGCCTCTATGTTTCTCTTCCACCAGATCACAGATGATCTTGTTGTTAAAGTATGGCACTGGCTCCCACTGAAAAATGTCAACATGGGGAAAAATGCTTATCAGTGAAAATATGCTAAAACACAAGGTGAGGCAGATCTGTGTCCCAAAGCATTTACATAACATTACTATCTGTAAGTGTAACAAATGGTGTATGTACTGAAAATATTCACCTCGATTCCCTCCATCTCATACTCCTCCTGCTCTGATTTGAGGGTGAGTTGGATGAAAAGCTGCTGAAGCTTTTCATTGCAGAAGTTTATGCAGAACTGTTCAAAACTGAGGAGAAAAGCACCAGTAATCACACACATGGTTAATATCAATCCATCAAAACATATATCTATCTAGTACTCCTGTGCTGCTTAATATTTTTGTGGAAAATACACTTTTTGATGAATAGAATGTTTTTAAAAAAGAGCATTTATTTCAAACAGACATTTTCTGCAACACTGTCTTTACTGTTAAATTACGAATTTAACAGTATTAAATTCGTAATCAAAATTAATGCATCCTTGCTAAACCTTACTGACCCCTTTTAAATGATAGATGGCCCATTTATTTGTGTCTAGAGGGCTTGTTCTGACACTATATTGATAAAAAGGTTACTAATTGGTTTTGTTAACACATTAACCCTTTTTCTTGAAGGAAACCATTACAATACATTTATTCAGTGAGTGTGTATGACCGCAATGCTTCAGGGTCACCTGTTCACGTCAAACACTTCAAATCCATAGATGTCAAGCAGTCCAATCACCGTCTTTCTGGTTGAATCCTGCATCATACATATTATAAATAGACTGATAACCTAATAATCTATTAACTAATTCATGTATTTTTATAAACCCCTATAAAAAGCATAATTTGTAAATTCCATGTAATCATGCATACCTTATTAGCCAACGATTCATTAATCTTATTAACAAGCCATGAGAATGTGCGGCCATAGATGGCTTTGGCTAGTGCATCTCTGGCATACTTTGCATGTTCAGCGGTGAAAGGGCTTAGAACCTGAAAATGATAAATACTACATAATCATGGATTTCTTAAGTACAGGAAATGTTAAAAAACATACTTAATATTCCACTTCCATTTTAAATTTACATTTATTTATCATTTAATAATAACTCTGTATAGCAATATGAATGTAAAACATGTTTTTTGTGCAACAATTAATGTGACATACAAGTCTCACCTCTTCTGCTTTGGCTTCAATCTTTCTGTGAGTTAAACCCTCCTGTAACATGCTTAAGGGGATTCCCAATAACTGACAAGAATAAATAAGAAATAAAGGAAAGAGAGAGAAATGGGTAGCAAAAACAAAACTAAGAGGTCAAAATTGGCATTACAGTGTAAACCGTAAAACTAATGCATAATTATTCGAAAACCTGATAAAAGTGTCGGTGGAAAGTACCTTTGACAGCCAGTGTACTTCCGCACTGCTGTATAATGTGGCATAACCATGGGCACTGGCCTCAAAGTGAACATTGCCGAGATGAAGGACACTGGCAATAATTGCAAACAGATGCTAAAAAAGACCAAACATATTAAACAATGACTTCTCTTTCTAAAAAGCAGCCTTCTACACTGACCCAGTCATCCAAGTGGACAAAAACTATAATTAACATTGCAATATGAATGTAAAACATGTTTTTTGTGCAACAATTAATGTGACATACAAGTCTCACCTCTTCTGCTTTGGCTTCAATCTTTCTGTGAGTTAAACCCTCCTGTAACATGCTTAAGGGGATTCCCAATAACTGACAAGAATAAATAAGAAATAAAGGAAAGAGAGAGAAATGGGTTGCAAAAACAAAACTAAGAGGTCAAAATTGGCATTACAGTGTAAACCGTAAAACTAATGCATAATTATTCGAAAACCTGATAGAAGTGTCGGTGGAAAGTACCTTTGACAGCCAGTGTACTTCCGCACTGCTGTATAATGTGGCATAACCATGGGCACTGGCCTCAAAGTGAACATTGCCGAGATGAAGGACACTGGCAATAAGCCTGTGTTCAGCATGAGAGTCCACATTATTCTCTCCCCCATCTCAATGAAAGTAACTGTGATACTGATATTGCATTGCCTGCCTTTTTTATAGTCTATTCTAAGAGATCATATGAGTGGGTGCAGGACTCACATATATGAGGTTCTCATTAAACCGTTTTCTGAGGTTGTCCATAAATGCTGTCTCACTGGTGTAGGCGTCCAGGAGAACAAAGTCTTGAATGCCCACCCGGTCCCGAGCTGTCAAAGAGCCCTCCATATCCTGCAGGATCCGCTGGCAGCGCTCCTCTAAACTCTGTTAATCACAGACATACAAAATAAAGAAAGGAGTAGATAATTTTTCCCAGAAACAGCATTAGAAGTTGCTTGAAAATATACACCTATTTGTTGTACTTTGATTATTTATATTCTTCAGGACAATTACTGCATAAAATCTTGTAATTGTATATGTTTAACTGTAATTGCTCACAAATGTACACAAATGACCAACATCACCAACTTTCTTTCACTCTGGTGTTTTTTACATCCCCCTACATCCAGTAATATATCATTTCAGATGTGGCCTTGAACAAATCCTTTCAACAACATGCCATGAATCGTCTGAGTGCAGCCTCTACTTATCTAATCTAAAATGTTTTCTGCACCGTCTATCAAAAGGGACGTTCGTCAATCAACACTGAGAATGACAGGGTCCACCCCAGTCTTGACAAACAGGAAGGATATTGTTTTTACGCGTTGATAAAATCGTATGTCCTCTGAAGTTATGTTTTGAAAGAAGTAAATGGCCCTAAATATCACTGTAAAAATTTTAACATTTTCACAGTAAAAAATGATTGTGGTTAACTTACCATACCTTACCACATTTGGCGAAAGATTTACAGTAAAATGTTTTAAATGTATGGTTTTGGAAGTAAAAACTATTACCATATAAATGTCTAAAAAAATGTAATGGGATTTTTTACATTGCACAAATATTAACAATATATTAAAAGGCTAAATAATTTTTTTTCTTTTTTTTTAACCAAAGAAAAAGTTTTGTTAAAGAAAAGTATACATTTTAGTTGCAGAAACACTGTGATTCTCAGTTTGACATATTATTCTTGAGTCATTCTACTACTAGACTGTTACATAAAAAGCTGAGGCACATTATTTGCTGAGAGACACAGCACAGTGAGCTGTATTACACCATTAGTTCGGCTGTATCAACATGCTTTATTCACTACAAGAATAAATTTACATCAAAAGCTGCATAATATTTTACACAAACAAAATATGTACCTTTTTAGTTCTCTTGTGTTATCGATCTATCTTCGACCTGAAATATTTTTAAATTTGATCTAAAAAAATTTTATGAAAATATGGGAGCCCTTACCTTCAATGCAGTGACTGTTTCTCTGAGTACTGATGTTGGAACTGTGTATGATCTTATCCAGTTTTGTAAAGACAGAGCATCGGTGATTATTTCAAGTGCAACAGGAAACACTGTCATATCACACTCACCACGTCCACCATGGGAAGTCATTAATAAAAAGTTTGCTAAGGAAGCGGGGGTCTGTGTGTATGTGTGTGTCAAGAAACATCTGTCTGAAACAGAAATCATGATGGATTTATTGTCTAGCATCCTGAAAAGCTCAGCTCAGCGTAGGTTTGTCCTATCTTGGTTCCCTTAAACCTGAGGGCAAATCTATTTCTATCCGAGATTACACGGTTCCGTTCCTGTCATGGGATGGTATTTGGGCCAAGGTCACGGACATACAAAAACTCTCAATAAATGAACTATTCCTGTCTGGTGCTACTGATGTTTGATTTACCTCTAAGAACAGATGGAACACGCACTCCTTCTCTCTTTCTTCCTCACACACACACAAATATCATTAATAATATCTTATTTCAAGAAGCACACCATCTGAAACCACATAAGTTTACAATTCATCATAAAACATATCCTTTTCAGAATTGTCCAGTTACTTGTACTCTATAAAGCCATACCGTATCATATTTGATACAGAAATTACTAAGGCCCTTAATTATCAAAATGATCAAAACTTTGCTGAAAAAATTTGCATTGATAGTTTATACTTTTTAGCAAGTAAAAAGCATTTTACTATAATTATAAAAATGTCCCCCTTCAGGTTTTGATAAACGTGTCTTTTTGCTATGAAATCTTTACTGTTTTTTATAAGGTAAATGTAAGAATAACTTTTGTTAGTACAAAATCAAGATGAACACTTACTGGACTTAAGTAAATAAATGAGTATCAAATATGATACATGAGGCTTTGGAGGAATGTTTATTTGTACATTTCCAAATCGTCATTGGATTGCATTATATGTTTTTCCCCTCACAGTAAAAACCAGAGCTTTGATCATAAAATTTAAATACTTAAAACGTTAAATATAATTTTACTAAGACATATTAATGGGAGATATAGAGTGACAACTTATATTTACATGCATTTGAAGTAGACTGTTTTAAAGATCTCATTTATTTACATTACAAGTTATCAAAATTTCATCTTACTTTTTGGCCATATAGATATCAGCAAATGTACATATGGCGCATTTTTGCTTAGTTTGGGCCTATGATTAAAACAGAGGAGGATTTTCTCCTACATCATATATGATTCATAAAATGCATCAAATATATACAAATGAATCAAATATAATACTCAACAAAAAACACAACTTTTATTTATTTAATATTTTTGTAAGTGTTCAACAAACTGTTCAGTTAAACAAGAGATTTTTACGATCATTTCATATGTCAGGCTTCATGGTTAAACAGTTACTGACAACATTAGTAAAATAAAACGCACTAAGTTAGCTGTCAGTCAGTTGTGTACCACAAAAGCGAAAGTGCAGAGACTAGGAAATGCTCTGAAAGATAAAGCTGGCATCACACTTGAGTCCTGTCTATCAGCTGGCAAAGAGCACTTAAACCAGAGCCAAGAGGGGATGCCAAGCCTCTGGCAGTCTGTCAATGTTCTTCTTTCATTACACACAGCCTGGCATGTAGTGCATCCGCTTAAAAGACAATCAACTTTAAACTCAGCGCATTTCTTGTTACAGATACCCAGTTAAAACACTTTTTTAACTTGACCATTACTTGATTGCAACATATGAATATTTATATAAAACCACAAAAACTATAAAAGTACAATATAACATATCATAATAATTGAATATAATAATATATACACACAAATACTATATATTATATATCACGTATACACATATTATTCTTGCTACCATTGTGTAGAGTTAAGAATGTTAAGATTGTTTTTTTCTTTTTCTTTCTTATAATCAAAACTGATCAGGTCTTAATTAAAAAAACAAAAAGTTAATTTACACGATGACTTCGATTTCCACTTTGGTGGCACTGTTATTAGATACATCCTGCTGTATTTCCAAGTGAGTCACTGAGACATTAAAGCTGATTTTAATGGAGAAGGAAAGCCTATCTGGTTAACTGACCATCATCTGAGAGGCCATTCTATTGTTCCAAAACTCCAGTATGTCACTGGATCCCAGTGCTCAGCTCACAGTATGGCTTGAGACTTCGGAAAGAGCTAGAGCTCATCATTGGTCACTGGCCCACATTCTTCTATAACAGCTACTACACAAAGACTTGACAAATTTTGCTGCTTAAAGTCTAAATCTGAATTTACCTTCTTCAACCTGTACTAGTTATGCCTTTTACCTTTATTTCTCTGTTCCAATTTTTTTTTTTATTCTGTATAGGTATTAATGAGAACTTCTCGATTTTTCCTCAAAATAATGTTTGAACTTTTTTACAAAATGGAAATAAAAAAGAAAATACAGTAAAATCTCCCAGTCATTTTGTAGTCCAATTTTGAGTCACATATTCAAAAAATATGATAAATCCCAATTTTTTTTTAAAGAAGAGGAACTTACAGAATAAAAAATGCAATATATATATCAGGCTAAATGAGTCAAAAAATGATCACAGCTTATGAGTATTTAAATTTTACTACATTATTTCAGCTGCTTTCTCCGCAGACATAAGTATATGAAATATTCCTGAATTACCTCAGCATCCATTGTTTTTTCCAAAAGAGATGATTTTTAATTCTCCTTGTATTGGTCCAGGGCTCAGAAGTTTAAAGGGCCTTTAGTGCCCAGTTTGCCCCAGCATGATGGAAACCCAGGCCAGCAGAAGACACGTCTGATCCACTTCACATTCGGTCCTGATCAGTTCAACTCGCTTTTTCTTTCTCACGTTTCTTCTCTATCTCACATCTTTCCATCTCTTGTTCTCATGAATTTATTTCCGTTTAAGCACCACTACTAAACTCAGCTCACGGTCTGCTCCAAGATGCTGAATGATTCATGGAGGGGCGGCAAGAGAAGATATCATTCAGCGCCTCTCCTTAGAGGCCACTGCCCCACCATGTGTAACACAAGGCTGTGGAAACCTGAGCTAAAACCCTGCTCCCTCCCCTCCTACCTGTCTTCTTCTGCACAAAATTACATTGTTGGGGTCTAGTTACTGATCTTTGATTAGGTGGATCCGTTTTCTGCTAATTACTACCCACTCACCAACACAAGGCCCGTGGCTCATAGCCCATTTGGTGTAAAATTGCCTCTATTTTATTTTATTTACAAACTGATGGATGTGTAATCACTCTGACTGCTGGGACGGTCAGCTGAGGCTCTGATGGAACCTGAGTCAGGAGATGTTTACCTCATTACTGTAAAGCCTTCCTTAGGTCATGTTTAGGTTCAGATGCCCCACTTTCATCACTCATGTAATTTTAGTTTCTTGAGATGTACATTTGCATTCATCAGCTGACTCTAAATGAAATCAGGTAATGGTCAATGCCATTGCGTAAACACAGTCACTCAGCTGGTTCATGAACGAATCGTTCTTTTGAAACGATTCTTTTCAGTGAACCTGTTCAACCTAGTTGACCAAATCGGACTGAATCGTTTAAAACAGTTCGAACCGAGTACATTGCTACAAGAGCATTTGAATGTTGAATGTTGTCAGAATTACGTGATGACGTAAAAATAACTGATTAATGAATCGTTTTAACTGATTCGCTAGAACGAACCGTGTAAAAGAACCGGTTTGCGGACTTCCATTCCATGTGTGATATGTACCATACACTTGAGGTAGGCTACATCTTTTTTACTAAGCGCCATGTCATCAACTGACCGTTCGCAAAGAGCTTGATTGACAGGCGATCTGTTCAAAAATACGTTCTGATGTTTATTCGTGTTTATTTCGTGCTTTAAGTAAATATGAAAAGACGATCGGTTCACGTGTTTGAACCGAGGCAATACAGCGATCTGTCACGATTTATTAAAGAGCCACAAAATGGTATTTATTGTTTGGAATGGATTTCTTTAAAAATCCTGAGATCTTGCTTCATACCAGAAGTAACCTGCTCTGTCTTTGTCGGTGTGTTGTCAGTTTCCTCTTTGCTCTGCGATGTATCTTTCTATGGCAAGCCGTTTTAGCTTAAAATATCCCCAGTGTTACTCGTCGTAATTGCATTTTTACTAGTAACAATTCAATTAGAGAGCTCTACAATTACATTTTTACTAGTAAGAATGTAATTCCACAGCTCTACAGCTACATTCTTACTAGTAAGAATTACAGTTAGAGAGCTCTCTAATACAATTCTTACTAGTAACAATTAAATTACAGAGCTCTGTAATTGAATTAGAGAGCTCTGCAATTGCATTCTTACTAGTAAGAATTCAATTTGAGAGCTCTACAGTTCAATCCTTACTAGTAAGAATTACAATTAGAGAGATCTCTAATTCAGTTTTTACTAGTAAGAATTCCATTTAGAGAGCTCTCTAAATCAATTCTTACTAGTAACAATTATAATTAGAGAGCTCTGTAATTCAGTTATTACTAGTAAGAATTCCATTTAGAGAGCTCTCTAATTCAATTGTTACTAGTAAGAACTGAATTAGAGAGCTCTTTAATTCGATTACAGAGCTCTGCAATTAAACATATCTTTAATGTGGTTTTTTACTAGTAAAAATTGAATTAGAGAGCTCTGTAATTGGAATTCTTACTAGTAATAACTGAATTGCAGAGCTCTCTCATTATAATTGTTACTAGTAAGAATTGATTTAGAGAGCTCTCTAACTGGCATTGTTACTAGTAAGAATTTAATTGTAGAGCTCTCTAGCTGAATTGTTACTAGTAAAAATGCAATTACGAGTAACACTGGGGATATTTTAAGCTAAAACGGCTTGCCATATCTTTCACTATGTGAGAAGTTGAACATGATTTGTAGTGTGAGAGCGGCATTGTTTGTCGGGGATGGCAACAGTAACCAAGGAGAGCGGGTCTTTGCGAACGGTCAATTTTGCCCTTCTTTGTCAATTCCAAATCAATATGATTCCTATCAAAGCCTGACTATGATAGAATAATTTCCCCCTTGATTTCTTCTGCCCATTTAATCTAATCTCGTGATCTATATTTTGTCTTTTTAAGATAAATAAATAAATACAATTGTAGTTTTTGTGTCAACATAGCACCTCTGAACCAGGGGTGCGTTTCCCAAAAGCAACTATGGTCGCAAGTTCCGTCGTTACCAATAGAGTTATGCCGAGTTCACACTGGACGATTTTCAAACTCGTCGGATCGCCGTTGTTTTCACACTGCGTGACTGTAGCATTCAGTTGCTGCTGTGTTCACATTGCACGATGGATCGGCGACAGGGGGGTTCACACTGCATGACTTCACAATAGGAAGAATCGCCGACAGCTCTGTCTGGTCCGCAAACTACATTTCACAACAAAACACACGCGAGAAGTGATACGGAAATAAGAGCAAGACTGTAATTATTTAAAAAATATATATATAGCCCGCAAATTGTCTGTGAGCTGATTTCCAGCTACAAGGGAAAAAATGTATGCAGATTATGCAGGAGGGAGATGCAGGGAACAGGGATTGGGTGTTCTGCAAAGAGAGTTGGAGGTAAATAATTTTGCAGTAACTGTTATGCTGATGTTGTGGCTGGTCAAGCAAATGTTTGTGCTTGTTTCTGTATGATATAATTGTTCATTACCTATTAAAATACTGATATTCTGGTCAATAACTCCTCCCCGAACTTCCCTCTGTGCTGTATCTTGGTCTCTCATTGGCTGTAGGTCATCGCCGA